ATTGAATGATGGTGGAGATTCCTGGGGGCCATTGAATGATGGTGGAGAGTGCTGGAGACCAGTGAATGGTGGTGGAGAGTCATGGGGACCACTGAATGGTGGTGGAGAGTCCTGGGGGACCACTGAAATAATGGTGGAGAGTGGAGAGTCCTGGGGACCACTGAATGATGGTGGAGAGTCCTGGGGACCACTGAATGATGGTGGAGAGTCCTGGGGACCACTGAATGATGGTGGAGAGTCCTGGGGACCACTGAATGATGGTGGAGAGTCCTGGGGGACCACTGAATGATGGTGGAGAGTCCTGGGGACCATTGCATGATGGTGGAGAGTCCTGGGGACCATTGAATGATGGTGGAGGGACCTGGGGACCAGTGAATGATGGTGGAGAGTCCTGGGGACCATTGAACGATCAGGGAAAATGCTGGGGACCAAGGAATGATCCAAGAGAGTGTAGGAGGCAGGTGTGATCAGGGAGACCAAAGAACCATCAAAGATGTTGGTTTCCATCAGAGAGATATCCAATCACCTCCTGTTGTGACACCCTGTCATTGGGACAGGAAGTGAGGGAAAGTCTCCCCAATGAAGGATCAGACAGAGTGCTAGAGAATGCTGGAGAGCAATGAACGATCAGGGAAGGTGCAGCAGACCAATGAACGATCAGGGAGAGTGCTGCAGACCAATAGGGAGAAGCTGGGAATTGGGTGGTTCATGAGCGCTGCCGCTGGAGAGAAGCTGGGAATTGGGTGGTTCATGAGCGCTGCCGCTGGAGAGAAGCTGGGAATTGGGTGGTTCATGAGCGCTGCCGCTGGAGAGAAGCTGGGAATTGGGTGGTTCATGAGCGCTGCCCCGCTGGGGGAGAAGCTGGGAATTGGGTGGTTCATGAGCGCTGCCGCTGGGGAGAAGCTGGGAATTGGGTGGTTCATGAGCGCTGCCTCTGGGGAGAAGCTGGGAATTGGGTGGCTCATGAGCGCTGCCGCTGGGGAGAAGCTGGGAATTGGGTGGTTCATGAGTGCTGCCGCTGGGGAGAAGCTGGGAATTGGGTGGTTCATGAGCGCTGCCGCTGGAGAGAAGCTGGGAATTGGGTGGTTCATGAGCGCTGCCGCTGGGGGGAGAAGCTGGGAATTGGGTGGTTCATGAGCGCTGCCGCTGGGGAGAAGCTGGGAATTGGGTGGTTTATGAGCGCTGCCGCTGGGGAGAAGCTGGGAATTGGGTGGTTCATGAGCGCTGCCGCTGGGGAGAAGCTGGGAATTGGGTGGTTCATGAGCGCTGCCGCTGGGGAGAGAAGCTGGGAATTGGGTGGTTTATGAGCGCTGCCGCTGGGGAGAAGCTGGGAATTGGGGGTTGATGAGCGCTGCCCGCTGGGGAGAAGCTGGGAATTGGGTGGTTTATGAGCGCTGCCGCTGGGGAGAAGGTGGGAATTGGGGGTTGATGAGCGCTGCCGCTGGGGAGTAGCTGGGAATTGGGTGGTTTATGAGCGCTGCCGCTGGGGAGAAGCTGGGAATTGGTGGTTGATGAGCGCTGCCGCTGGGGGAGAAGCTGGGAATTGGGTGGTTCATGAGCGCTGCCGCTGGGGAGAAGCTTGGAATTGGGTGGTTCATGAGCGCTGCCGCTAGGGAGAAGCTGGGAATTGGGTGGTTCATGAGCGCTGCCGCTGGGGAGAAGCTGGGAATTGGGTGGTTCATGAGCACTGCCGCTGGGGAGAAGCTGGGAATTGGGTGGTTCATGAGCACTGCCGCTGGGGAGAAGCTGGGAATTGGGTGGTTCATGAGCACTGCCCTGGGGAGAAGCTGGGAATTGGGTGGTTCATGAGCGCTGCCGCTAGGGAGAAGCTGGGAATTGGGTGGTTCATGAGCGCTGCCGCTGGGGGAGAAGCTGGGAATTGGGTGGTTCATGAGCGCTGCCGCTGGGGAGAAGCTGGGAATTGGGTGGTTCATGAGCGCTGCCGCTGGGGAGAAGCTGGGAATTGGGTGGTTCATGAGCGCTGCCGCTGGGGAGAAGCTGGGAATTGGGTGGTTCATGAGCACTGACGCTCGCAGCACGCACCAGAAGGCAATTTGTGGCGTTAAATACAGTTTGTAAAATACGGGGCCCCGGGGACCGCAGGAAACGCATTCTCCTCCGTCTCTCCCGGGATCAATACGGACAGACGTCTCCCTAATCCATGAGAATCCACATCATTCCTGCTATTTGTCTTGACAGCTTTACGATACAAAGTATCCGTCATTGACGCGCCGCTGCGAGCGTGATGGACGAGGTGCGAGCGGGGATAATGTGTTTCTGTCCTGTCGTTCCTCGTCCTTCCGAGTGATGAAGTGTCTCTTCCCCCTCCTAATCTCCAGGACGCTGCGCTCCTCCCTCCGCATCCTTAATATTGGGAGCGCAAACATACGCGGGGGGACTGGTCCACCTGGCAGAAGGTTCAGGACGCAATGCACACCAATGAAGGCTAGAGAAAAATGCTGGAGACCAATGAAACGATCGGGGGGAAGTGATGCTGAAGAGCCTAATGAACTACCAGAGAGGTGCTGAAGACCAATGAAGGATCGGGAAGGATGCTGAAGACCAATGAAGAATCAGGAAGATTGCTGGACACCAATGAAGGAATAGGAAGGATGTTGAAGACCAATGAAGAATCGGGAAGATGCTGGACACCAATGAAGGAATAGGAAGGATGTTGAAGACCAATGAAGGGTCGGGAAGGATGCTGGACACCAATGAAGGATCGGGAAGGATGCTGAAGACCAATGAAGGGTCGGGAAGGATGCTGAAGACCAATGAAGGGAGGGGTCGGGAAGGATGCTGAAGACCAATGAAGGATTCGGGAAGGATGCTGAAGACCAATGAAGGTCGGGAAGGATGCTGAAGACCAATGAAGGGTCGGGAAGGATGCTGGACACCAATGAAGGATCGGGAAGGATGCTGAAGACCAATGAAGGGTCGGGAAGGATGCTGAAGACCAATGAAGGATTGGGAAGGATGCTGAAGACCAATGAAGGGTCGGGGAAGGATGCTGAAGACCAATGAAGGGTCGGGAAGGATGCTGAAGACCAATGAAGGGTCGGGAAGGATGTTGAAGACCAATGAAGAATTAGGAAGGATGCTGGACACCAATGAAGGGTCGGGAAGGATGCTGAAGACCAATGAAGGGTCGGGAAGGATGTTGAAGACCAATGAAGAATTAGGAAGGATGTTGAAGACCAATGAAGGGTCGGGAAGGATGCTGGACACCAATGAAGGGTCGGGAAGGATGCTGAAGACCAATGAAGGGTCGGGAAGGATGTTGAAGACCAATGAAGAATTAGGAAGGATGCTGGACACCAATGAAGGGTCGGGAAGGATGTTGAAGACCAATGAAGAATTCGGGAAGGATGCTGGACACCAATGAAGGGTCGGGAAGGATGCTGGAACACCAATGAAGGATCGGGAAGGATGTTGAAGACCAATGAAGAATTAGGAAGGATGCTGGACACCAATGAAGGGATCGGGAAGGATGCTGAAGACCAATGAAGGGTCGGGAAGGATGCTGAAGACCAATGAAGGATCGGGAAGGATGCTGAAGACCAATGAAGGGTCGGGAAGGATGCTGAAGACCAATGAAGGGTCGGGAAGGATGCTGAAGACCAATGAAGGATTGGGAAGGATGCTGAAGACCAATGAAGGGTCGGGAAGGATGCTGAAGAAGGATGCCGAAGACCAATGAAGGGTCGGGAAGGATGCTGAAGACCAATGAAGGATCGGGAAGGATGCCGAAGACCAATGAAGGATCGGGAAGGATGCTGAAGACCAATGAAGGATCGGGAAGGATGAAAGAAGACCAATGAAGGATCGGGAAGGCATGCCGAAGACCAATGAAGGATCGGGAAGGATGCTGAAGACCAATGAAGGATCGGGAAGAATACTAGAGGCCAATGAAGGATTAGTAGGAATGCTGGAGACCGATGAAGGATCAGGGAGAATGTTGAAGACCAATGAAGGATCAGGAAGGATGTTCGGGAAAGACCAATGAAGGGTCGGGAAGGATGTTGAAGACCAATGAAGGGTCAGGAAGGATGTTGAAGACCAATGAAGGGTCGGGAAGGATGCTGAAGACCAATGAAGGATCGGGAATTATGCTGGAACCAATGAAGGATCGGGGAGAGTGCTACAGAGCAATAAATGGTAAGAGAGTGTCGGAGACAAATTAATGATTAGAATGATTGTTGGAGATGGATGAAGGATCAGGGAGAATTATGGAGACCAAGGAGGAGTGCTGGAGACCAAGGAATGATCTGGTAGAATGTTGAAGACCAGTGAAGGATTGGGAAGCATTCTTGAGACCAAATGAAGGATCAGTGAGAATGCTGGAAACCAATGAAGGATCAGTGAGAATGCTGGAGACCAATGAAGGATCAGTGAGGATGCTGGAGACCAATGAAGGATCAGTGAGGATGCTGGAGACCAATGAAGGATTGGGAAGAATGCTGGAGACCAATGAAGGATCAGTGAGGATGCTGGAGACCAATGAAGGATTGGGAAGAATGCTGAAGACCAATGAAATATTGGGAAGAATGCTAGAGGCCAATGAAGGATTAGTAGAATGCTGGAGACCATGAACAATGCTGGAGACCGATGAAGGATCGTGAAGGAGGCTGGAGAACCTGGTACATTTGGGGAGTGTGCTGCGGACCAATGAATGATCGGGGGCAATTGATGGAGACCAATGAATGATCGGGGGCAATTGATGGAGACCAATGAATGATCGGGGGCAATTGATGGAGACCAATGAATGATCGGGGGCAATTGATGGAGACCAATGAATGATCGGGGGCAATTGATGGAGACCAATGAATGATCGGGGGCATTGATGGAGACCAATGAATGATCGGGGGCAATCTGATGGAGACCAATGAATGATCGGGGGCAATTGATGGAGACCAATGAATGATCGGGGGAGAGTGTTGGAGAACAATGAACTGGGGACAGTCCCAGGGACCGATGAACGACCAGTGAACGTGCCTTACCTGCCGCGAACTCCCGGATGTTCTCAGGACGGTGGAGCAGAACCTCCCTAGAGAGAGACAGAGAGATGTGATTGGTTGGGGTCCTTTGGGGCCCTCAGTATGAAGCTGTGATTGGGGCAGATGTCGGTGTTGATGAGATGATAGTCACCGTATGAACGCAGACAGCAGGAGGCGCACTTCCTGGTGGCTCCGGAGGTAGCTCTCATTACCGATCCGAGTCTGGATCTGTGGGAGGAGAGAAGACACAGAGATCAGAGATCCAACCAATCACAGGTGACTCTGGATATACTGCCAATCCAAGAACATGACCGCGGGGAACAACCAATCAAATATCAGCAAGCTCAGATCTCCCAAAGTCATGGGGGGGGTATCAAACGATTGATTAGATCTCCCGGGGTCATTGTGGGGTGATGTTCAGTGTCGGGTGACACCACAAGTCCCAGCATGTTCAGGGGGTCGGGTGACACCACAAGTCCCAGCATGCTCAGGGGTCGGGTGACACCACAAGTCCCAGCATGCTCAGGGTCGGGTGACACCACAATTCCCAGCATGCTCAGCGTCGGGTGACACCACAATTCCCAGCATGCTCAGGGGTCGGGTGACACCACAAGTCCCAGCATGCTCAGCGTCGGGTGACACCACAAGTCCCAGCATGTCAGCGTCGGGGTGACACCACAAGTCCCAGCATGCTCAGGGGTCGGGTGACACCACAAGTCCCAGCATGCTCAGGGGTCGGGTGACACCACAAGTCCCAGCATGCTCAGGGTCGGGTGACACCACAAGTCCCAGCATGCTCAGGGGTCGGGTGACACCACAAGTCCCAGCATGCTCAGGGGTCGGGTGACACCACAAGTCCCAGCATGCTCAGGTCGGGTGACACCACAAGTCTCAGGGGGTCCCTCTCACCCTCCAGGCCCTCAGCCGGCTCTCCTGCTCGCTGTTCAGGGCCCCGGGATCCTCCTCCGCCATCTTCTCCTCTCGGGGACGCTGAGCTGGTTGCTAGGGGGCGGAGAGTCACGTGACTGGCTGCGGCCCCGCCCTTCTGTTCTCGGGGAGATTGTCACCATGGAGACGGCTGAGCCAGGGGGAGTCCCGGGGTGACGTCATTAAACTGGAATGTGGGCGGAGCCTGACTGTCGGCCGCCGTGTCCTGGACCAGCCAATTAGGATTGTCCTTCAGGGGAGTGTGGTTACCAGGGGCAACAGAGGAGGAGACCGCCATCTCCATGGTGACAGCTCAGAGGACAGAATCCTGTCACATGATGTCCCCTCCCCCTGTACATCATATACCGTGTGCCCCTCCCCCTGTACATTATATACCGTGTGCCCCTCCCCCTGTACATCATATACTGTGCCCCTCCCCCTGTACATTATATACCGTGTGCCCCTCCCCCTGTACATTATATACCGTGTGCCCCTCCCCCTGTACATTATATACGTGTGCCCCTCCCCCTGTACATATATATACCGTGTGCCCCTCCCCCTGTACATTATATACCGTGTGCCCCTCCCCCTGTACATTATATACTGTGCCCCTCCCCCTGTACATTATATACTGTGCCCCTCCCCCTGTACATTATATACTGTGCCCCTCCCCCTGTACATTATATACTGTGCCCCTCCCCCTGTACATTATACACCGTGTGCCCCTCCTCCTGGTGTCCCCAGGGATTGTCGCTGTTCTCTGTTGTCACCGCTCTGCAGGAGATCACATGACCGGCCTGTCCCGGGAGATGACAGGAGTGTCCCCAGGTGACCCCACAACCCCCCCTCCCCCAATCAGCAGCTGGACTCCCATTGTAGGAACATCTCCTCCCCCATCCCCCGGGGGGGGGGGGGTGGGGGGCATCTGGGGGGCAATGACTGGACTCCACTGCAGACAATGGCGGCTCTATAATCCCCTCCCCGCCGGATGTCGGTAAATTCCTCTCTATCGCCGATTTCCTTCCCAGCCGGAGCGGCGTTATGACGGAACCCTTCTTGTCTGTGACGTCACTGCCTATCAAGATCAGCGCGGCGGAGACGTCACAGCCCGGCGAGGAGAGCGCCGCCACCCGGCCGCCATGTTTGTACAAACGCCGATGAACGGAGCCTCATAGTGACCGCAAACCAACTCGTTACGTCATCGATTTCATTTCCGATCGATCGCTCCAATGGCGTCATACAATTGATCAATAATACGTGCCCCGCCTATTCCTCTACATACCCCGCCTACTCCTCTACATACCCCGCCTACCACCCCACATACCCCGCCTATCCTCTACATACCCCGCCTACCACCCCATATACCCCGCCTATCCCTCTACATACCCCGCCTACCACCCCATATACCCCGCCTATCCTCTACATACCCCGCCTACCACCCCATATACCCCGCCTATCCCTCTACATACCCCGCCTACCACCCCATATACCCCGCCTATCCCTCTACATACCCCGCCTACCACCCCCACTCCTCTACATACCCCGCCTATCCCTCTACATACCCCGCCTACCACCCCACATACATACCCCGCCTATCCCTCTACATACCCCGCCTACCACCCCACATCCGTCTACACCCCGCCTACCACCCCATATACCCCGCCTATCCCTCTACATACCCCGCCTACACCCCACATACCCGCCTATCCCTCTACATACCCCGCCTACCACCCCACATACCCCGCCTACCACCCCACATACCCCGCCTACCACCCACATACCCCGCCTACCACCCTACATACCCCGCCTATCCCTCTACATACCCCGCCTACCACCCCACATACCCCGCCTACCACCCCCACATACCCCGCCTATCCCTCTACATACCCCGCCTACCCACCCCACATACCCCGCCTACTCCTCTACATACCCCGCCTACCACCCCACATACCCCGCCCCCCCACATACCCCGCCTACCACCCCACATACCCCGCCTAATCCCTCTACATACCCCGCCTACCCCCACATACCCCGCCTACCCCCACATACCCCGCCTATCCCCCACATACCCCGCCTACCCCCCCACATACCCCGCCTACTCCCTCTACATACCCCGCCTATCCCCCCACATACCCCGCCTACCCCCCACATACCCCGCCTACCTCCTCTACATACCCCGCCTACCCCCCACATACCCCGCCTATCCCTACATACCCCGCCTACCCCACATACCCCGCCTATCCCTCTACATACCCCGCCTACCCCCCACATACCCCGCCTATCCCTCACATACCCCGCCTACCACCCCACATACCCCGCCTACTCCTCTACATACCCCGCCCCCCTCCCACATACCCCGCCCCCCCACATACCCCGCCTACCCCCCACATACCCCGCCTACCCCCCACATACCCCGCCTATCCCTCTACATACCCCGCCTACCCCCACATACCCCGCCTATCCCTCTACATACCCGCCTACCCCCCTACATACCCCCCTACCACCCCACATACCCCGCCTTCCCCCCACATACCCCGCCTATCCCTCACATACCCCGCCTACCCCCCACATACCCCGCCTACACACCCCACATACCCCGCCTACCCCCCCCACACATACCCCGCCCCCCACATACCCCGCCCCCCCACATACCCCGCCTACCCCCCCCCACATACCCCGCCTATCCCTCTACATACCCCCGCCTACCCCTCCCCGCCTACCCCCACATACCCCCCCGCCTTCCCCCACATACCCCCTAACCCACCCACATACCCCGCCTTCCCCCACATACCCCCGCCTACCCCCCACATACCCCGCCTACCCCCCCATACCCCGCCTACCCCCCCACATACCCCGCCTACCTCCCCACATGCCCCGCCTACCACCCCACATAACCCCGCCTAACCCCCCCCGCCTACCCCCCACATCCCTCCCCTACCTACCCCCCACATACCCCGCCTACCCCCCCACATACCCCGCCTACTCCCTCATACCCCCCTTACCCCCCTCTACATACCCCGCCTACCCCCCACATACCCCCGCCTACCCCCCACACATACCCGCTTACTACCCCCTACATACCCCCCTACCCCCCCACATACCCCGCCTACCCCCATACATACCCCGCCTACCCCCCACATACCCCGCCTACCCCCTACATACCCGCCTACCCCCCCACATACCCCGCCTACCCCCCTCCACATACCCCGCCTACACCCTCTACATACCCCCCTACCTACCCCCCCACATACCCCGCCTATCCCCTCTACATACCGCCTACCCCCCCACATACCCCGCCTACCCCCTCTACATACCCCGCCTACCCCCCACAACTCACCCCCGTTATCCACCCCCCATACCCCGCCTATCCCTCTACATACCCGCCTACCCCCCCACATACCCCGCCTACAAAACCCCGGGGACCCCCACATTTACCCCCCCACATACCCCGCCTATCCCTCTACATACCCCTCCACATACCCGGCCAACCCCTCTATCATACCCCCCTACGTACCCCAACTATGCCCCTCCCACAACAGGGAGATTCCCCCCCCTCCCCCATAGTTTGTGTCTCTGCCCCTCCCACAATGGGGAGATTTCAGCACCATCCAAGAGAACCTTCACCCGATCCGATTGGCTACATTATGACTGAGCGCACCACCGTGCGTCTATACCCCCTCCGGAGCGCTCCTGCGGGCGATGACGCGGTCGGTCGGGGGGGGTCGCTGTTATTTTCTCAGATTCCCTGACTCCGGCCGTGCGTGTTTATACAACGCCAGAGAAAAACAATCTTTTGTGTAATAAATTTGTGCGGGTGTACAGACCCAGGAACTCGGCACGGGATGGTACATAATGGGCACAGCCAGACCCGGGAACTCGGCACAGGGATGGTGGGAACCCCTCATAATGGGCACGGCGGGTGTACAGACCTGGGAACTCAGCACAGGGATGGTGGGAACCCCTCATAATGGGCACGGCGGGGGTACAGACCCGGGAACTCGGCACAGGGATGGTGGGAACCCCTCATAATGGGCACGGCGGGGTACAGACCCGGGAACTCGGCACAGGGATGGTGGGAACCCCTCATAATGGGCACGGCGGGCGTACAGACCCGGGAACTCGGCACAGGGATGGCGGGAACCCCTCATAATGGGCACAGCGGGCGTACAGACCCGGGAACTCGGCACAGGGATGGCGGGAACCCCTCATAATGGGCACAGCGGGTGTACAGACCTGGGAACTCGGCACAGGGACGGTGGGAACCCCTCATAATGGGCACAGGGATGGTGGGAACCCCTCACAATGGGCACAGCGGGTGTACAAAGAAAAAATACAATCTTTTGCGTAATAAATTAGTGGATAGCAGGCATTCTGCTGCCATTTTGCGTCCCTTTGTGCGTCGGTCCCGTCCCCCGGCTGTGTTTTGCGCCCCTTTGTGCGTCGGTCCCGTCCCCCGGCTGTGTTTTGCGCCCCTTTGTGCGTCGGTCCTGTCCCCCGGCTGTGTTTTGCGCCCCTCTGTGCGTCTGGTCCCGTCCCCCGGCTGTGTTCTGCGCCCCTTTGTGCGTCGGTCCCGTCCCCCGGCTGTGTTTTGCGCCCCTCTGTGCGTCGGTCCCGTCCCCCGGCTGTGTTTTGCGTCCCTTTTGTGGTCGGTCCGTCCCCCGGCTGTGTTTTGCGCCCCTCTGTGCGTCGGTCCCGTCCCCCGGCTGTGTGTTCTGCGCCCCTTTGTGCGTCGGTCCCGTCCCCCGGCTGTGTTTTGCGCCCCTTTGTGCGTCGGTCCCGTCACCCGGCTGTGTTTTGCGCCCCTTTGTGCGTCGGTCCCGTCCCCCCGGCTGTGTTTTGCGCCCCTTTGTGCGTCGGTCCCGTCCCCCGGCTGTGTTTTGCGCCCCTTTGTGCGTCGGTCCCGTCCCCCGGCTGTGTTTTGCTCCCCTTTGTGCGTCGGTCCCGTCCCCCGGCTGTGTTTTGCGCCCCTTTGTGCGTCGGTCCCGTCCCCCGGCTGTGTTTTGCTCCCCTTTGTGCGTCGGTCCCGTCCCCCGGCTGTGTTTTTGCGCCCCTTTGTGCGTCGGTCCCGACCCCGGCTGTGTTTTGCCCCCTTTGTGCGTCGGTCCCGTCCCCCGGCTGTGTTTTGCGCCCCTCTGTGCGTCGGTCCCGTCCCCCCGGCTGTGTTTTGCGCCCCTTTGTGCGTCGGGTCCCGTCCCCCGGCTGTGTTTTGCGCCCCTCTGTGCGTCGGTCCCGTCCCCCGGCTGTGTTTTGCGCCTCTCTGTGCGTCGGTCCCGTCCCCCGGCTGTGTGTTTTGCGCCCCTCTGTGCGTCGGTCCCGTCCCCCGGCTGTGTTTTGCGCCCCTTTGTGCGTCGGTCCCGCCCCCCGGCTGTGTTTTGCGCCCTCTGTGCGTCGGTCCCGTCCCCCGGCTGTGTTTTGCGCCCCTCTGTGCGTCGTCCCGTCCCCCGGCTGTGTTCTGCGCCCCTTTGTGCGTCGGTCCCCCCCCGGCTGTGTTTTGCGCCCCTCTGTGCGTCGGTCCCGTCCCCCGGCTGTGTTTTGCGCCCCTCTGTGCGTCGGTCCCCGTCCCCCGGCTGTGTTTTGCGCCCCTTTGTGCGTCGGTCCCGTCCCCCGGCTGTGTTTTGCGCCCCTTTGTGCGTCGGTCCCGTCCCCCGGCTGTGTTTTGCGCCCCTTCTGTGCGTCGGTCCCGTCCCCCGGCTGTGTTCTGCGCCCCTTTGTGCGTCGGTCCCGTCCCCCGGCTGTGTTTTGCGCCCCTCTGTGCGTCGGTCCCGTCCCCCGGCTGTGTTTTTGCGTCCCTCCTATCAGGCGCTGTGTACGGATCTCTTGTCATCCTGAGCGGGTGGGGGAAGGGCCGGCAGGTGTGCACAGGCCCCGCTCGCTCCTGCTCCCCGCTCAGTAAACACACACAAGTGTTCTTGGGGGATGGAAAGCAGCAGATGGCTTCTAATCTGCCATCACGTAGCAACCATCATCATCCGCCATCATCACCGCCGTCGCCGGGTACCATCCGCTCCGCCGCGTCCATTACACCCCGCATACCGCCGCACAGCGACCCCCCCCCCTCCCCCCCTCATCCATTCACAGCACAATTATCCACCGCCGGCCAATTACAGGTCTGTTGTCACGGCGGGGTCACCGAATCTCGCCCGCTGAGCAGTGACCCGCGCAGAAGAGGAGCCGTTATTTTCTTCCTTTTCTGCCTTATTAGATGAAAATGAACTCAGCGCTGAGGGCGGGGCTCCGCGAGGAGGGACATCGAACACAGAGATACAAAGGATTCGTCTTAAAGGGGAGATCCACCCCGAGATCGGCAACAATCAGCTGAATCACCGGCCACGGTCCAAGAGTGTTGTACATCTTCAATCTCACAGTAGTTGTGTCTCTGCCCCTCCCACAATGGGGAGATTTCCCCCAGTAGTTTGTGTCTCTGCCCCTCCCACAATGGGGAGGTTTCCCCCAGTAGTTTGTGTCTCTGCCCCTCCCACAATGGGGAGATTTCCCCCAGTAGTTTGTGTCTCTGCCCCTCCCACAATGGGGAGATTTCCCCCAGTAGTTTGTGTCTCTGCCCCTCCCACAATGGGGAGATTTCCCCCAGTAGTTTGTATCTCTGCCCCACCCACAATGGGGAGATTTCCTGCAGTAGTTTGTGTCTCTGCCCCTCCCATAATGGGGATCTTGGGGGGCTCACACATTCCTCTTCACTCTTTGTTCCCGCCCTCCTTGGGGTGTACAGTATTGGGAACTCTGCACAGGGATGGTGGGATCCCCTCGTCCCATCCATAATCACACTAATATCAGCCATCATGTCACCCCCCCCCCCCCCCCACAGCTGGGAAATTCTCCATAGAGGGGGGAAGCGCACAGTCGTGGGGGAGAGCGCACAGTCCGGGGGGGGGAGCGCACAGTCGGGAACGGGGGGGGAACGCACAGTCGGGAGGACACACAGTCAGGGGGGGGAGCGCACAGTCAGGGGGGAGGAGCACACAGTCGGGGGGGGGAGAGCGCACAGTCGGGGGGGAGGAGCACACAGTCGGGAACGGGGGGGGGGAGAGCGTACAGTCGGGGGGGGGGGGGGGGGGGGAGCACACAGTCAGGGGGGAGGAGCACACAGTCGGGGGGGAGAGCGCACAGTCGGGGGGAGGAGCACACAGTCAGGGGGGAGCGCACAGTCGGGGGGGAGGAGCACACAGTCGGGGGGAGAGCGCACAGTCGGGGGGGAGCGCACTCGGGGGGGAGCGCACAGTTGCAGGGGGAGGAGCACACAGTCGGGGGGGGGGAGAGCGCACAGTCAGGGGGGAGCGCACAGTCGGGGGAGAGCGCACAGTTGGGGGGGAGGAGGAGCACACAACAGTCGGGGGGAGAGCGCACAGTCGGGGGGGGGGAGCGCACAGTCGGGGGGAGAAGCACACAGTCGGGGGGGAAGCACACAGTCGGGGGAGGAGCACACAGTCAGGGGGGGAGCACACAGTCGGGGGGGGAGCACACAGTCGGGGGGGGCGCACACAGTCGGGGGGAGGAGCACACAGTCGGGGGGGAGGGGGAGCACACAGTCGGGGGGGAGGAGCACACAGTCAGGGGGGGAGCGCACAGTCGGGGGGGAGAACGCACAGTCGGGGGGGGGGAGGAGCGCACAGTCGGGGGGGAGAGCGCACACAGTCGGTGGGGAAAACGGGGAGCGCACAGTCGGGGGGGAGAGCACACAGCCGGGGGGGAGCGCACAGTCGGGGGGGAGGAGCACACAGTCGGGGGGGAGAGCGCACAGTCGGGGAGAGCGCACAGTCGGGGGGGAGAGCGCACAGTCGGGGGGGAGAGCGCACAGTCGGGGGGGGGGAGCACACAGTCGGGGGGGAGAGCGCACAGTCGGGGGGGGGAGCGCACAGTCGGGGGGGAGGAGCGCACAGTCGGGGGGGGGGGAGCGCACAGTCGGGGGGAGGAGCACACAGTCGGGGGGGAGTGCACTCCAGGCCCCGCCTCTTTGTGCCCACCCCCATCGCCCGTCCTCAGAGTTTTCGCATTTCTCTAAAGGGGAATCGAGCGAACTTTCACCGCCGATCAAGCGAGTCTGCGGGGGTCTAAGGGGTCTGCGGGGGTCTCCGTGAGTCTGCGGGGGTCTAAGGGGTCTGCGGGGGTCTTCGTGAGTCTGCGGGGGTCTAAGGGGTCTGCAGGGGTCTTCGTGAGTCTGTGGGGGTCTAAGGGGTCTTTGGGGGTCTTCGTGAGTCTGTGGGGGTCTAAGGGGTCTGTGGGGGTCTTCGTGAGTCTGCGGGGGTCTGTTGGAGTCTTGGGGGGTCTTTGGGAGTCTGCGGGGGTCTGCGGGAGTCTGCGGAGGTCTTCGGTAGTCTGCGGGGGTCTTCGTGAGTCTGCGGGGGTCTGTGGGAGTCTTTGGGGGTCTTCGGGAGTCTGCGGGGGTCTTTGGGAGTCTTCGGGGGTCTGTGGGAGTCTGCGGGGGTCTGTAGGAGTCTGCGGGGGTCTGTGGGAGTCTTCGGGGGTCTTCGGGAGTCTGTGGGGTTCTGTGGGAGTCTGCGGGGGTCTGTGGGAGTCTGCGGAGGTCTTCGGTAGTCTGCGGGGGTCTGTGGGAGTCTGCGGGGGTCTGTAGGAGTCTGCGGGGGTCTGTGGGAGTCTGCGGGGGTCTGTAGGAGTCTGCGGGGGTCTGTGGGACTCTTCGGGGGTCTTCGGGAGTCTGCGGGGGTTCTGTGGGAGTCTGCAGGGGTCCCGGGCGCTCGCTGTCACTTCATATCCCTCAGAGCTGACGGCTGTAATTGCCGATAATGACAGTTGTCCAGCTGTCTCCCGGACTGAGAACGCCCCGCCCCCTCCCCCAGAGTGAGACCCTCCGATCTATTAATATCTCATCCCCCCTCCCCCGGGACCCCTTTCAGCCGTAATACTCCGCATTGAACTTGAATTAGCGCCTGTCACGCCGTAGCAGTGACGGCGGGCAGCAGCGCGTCCATGAAGATTTTTTTTTTTTTCATCGCGGTCATCCGCCCGAGAAGATTTGGTGCGGGCGCCGGACCCCATTCACCATTTTTTTTCATCGCTGTCTTTTTTTCATTTTTTTTTTTCATTTTTCTTTTTTTTTTTGTTAATTTTTTTCATTTTTATTTCATTTTTTTTTTTTCTTTTTTCTTTTTTTTTCATTTTTTTTCATCGCCGTCATCCAAGATTTGGACCCCATTCACCATTTTTTTCATCGTCGTCATTTTTTTTCATTTATTTTCTTTTTTTTTTTTTTTTAGATTTTTTTCATTTTTTTCATTGTCGTCATCCAAGATTTGGACCCCATTCACCATTTTTATTCATCACCGTCATTTTTTTTCATTTTTTTTCTTTTTTTTTTTTTTTCATTTCTTTATCACTGTCATCCCAAATTTGGACCCCATTCATTTTTTTTCATCACCGTCATTTTTTAAATTTTTTTTTTCATTTCTTTTGTCTTTTTTTTTTTTCATTTTTTTCATCACTGTCATCCAAGATTTGGACCCCATTAACCATTTTTTTTTTCATCGCCATCATTTTTTTCATTTTTGATTTTTTGATTTTCCTTTTTGTCATCACCATCATCCAAGATTTGGACCCCATTCACCATTTTTTTCATCGCCGTCATTTTTTCACTTTTTTTTTTTAATTTTTTTTCTTTTTTTAATTTTTTTAATTTTTTTTCATCGCAGTCATTTTTTTTTTTTTTTTTTTTTTTTTTTTTCATTTTTCTTTTTTTCATTTTTTTTTTATTTGCGTTAAAATTCTATCTGCACCTGCAATGGTCTGTATCAGGCTGCCATGACGACCGATGAATTTAGACATTTGTACCTCTTGTTTCATTCCTATTTCTTTATATTTATATATATTTATTTTAATTTACTTTTTTTTTTTTTTTTTTTTTTTTTTAAATAAATATATTAACTATATTAAATTGTAATATAATGTTTAACTGTTTAAATACAATTTAAAAAATATATACATATTCGAATAGTGTATAGGGTAAACAGTCAGGATAGAGGAAGGAAGGGAAAGGGAAACAAAGGGAAAGGAAGGGGAAAGGAAAAATAAGGAAAGGATAAAGAGAAAGGAAAGGATTATATAAAAAAAAATACACCCAGAAAAGGGAGAGAAAAGAAAGAAATGGAAAGGAAAAAAAAAAGGGAAGAGAAAGGAAAGAAAAAAGGAAACAAAAAAGAGAAAGGGAAATGATTATAATAAAAAAAATGCACATATATATATATAGCGAGGAAAGGAAAGGAAAGAGAGAAAAGAAAGGAAGGGGAAAAGAAAAGAAGAGGAAAGGGAAGAGAAAGGAAACAAAAAAGAAAAAGGGAAAGGATTATATAAAAAAAAATTGCACATTTATATAGCAAGGAAAGGAAGGAGAAAAGAAAGATAAAGAAAAAGGAAGGAAAAGGGAAGGGAAAGGAAAACAAAAAAGAGAAAGGGAAAGAAATGAAAGGAAGGGAAAGGAAAATAAAAAAAGGAAGCAACAGGAAAAGAAAGGGAAAGGATTATATAATAAAATACACATATAGCAAGGAAAAGAAAGAAAAGGGAGAGGAAAAGAAAAAGAAAAAAAAAGAAAGGAAACAAAAAAGAGAAAGGGAAAGGAATCTATAAACAAAATGCACACATATATATATATAGCAAGGAAAGGAAAGGGGAAAGGGAAGGAAAGGAAGGAGAAAAGAAAGGGAAAGGAAGGAAAAGGACAGGAAATGAAAAAGAGAAAGGAAAGAGAAAGGGAATGGAAAGGAAAGGGAAAGAAGGGAAAGGAAAAAAAAAAAAGGAAACAAAAAAGAGAAAGGAAATGGAAAGGAAACAACAAAAAAGAAAGGGAAAGGATTATATAAAAAATACACATATAGCAAGGAAAGGAAGGAAGGGAAAGGAAAAGAAAAAAAAGGAAAGAAAGGAAAAGAAAGAAATGGAAAGGGAAGAGAAATGAAAGGAAAAATATAAAGGAAACAAAAGGAAAGAGAAAGGATAATATATAAAAAAAAATGCACATATAGTAAGGAAAGGAAATGAAAGGAAGGAAGGAAAAGGGAAGGAAAAAGAGAAAGGAAATGGAAAAAGAAAGGAAATGGAAAGAAGGGAAAGGAAAATAAAAAAAGGAAACAAAAAAGAGAAAGGAAAAAAACAACAGGAAAAGAAAGGGAAAGGATTATATAAAAAATACACATATAGCAAGGAGAGGAAATGAAAGGAAGGGAAAGGGAAGGGAAATGAAAAAGAGAAAGGAAAGGGAAATAAATGAAAGGAAGGGAAAGGAAAATAAAAAAAGAAAACAAAAAAGAGAAAGGAAATGGAAAGGAAACAATAAGAAAAGAAAGGGAAAGGATTATATAAAAAAAAAATACACATATAGCAAGGAAAGGGAAGGGAGAGGAAAAGAAAGAAAAAGGAAACAAAAAAAGAGAAAGGGAAAGAAATGAAAGGAAGAGAAAGGAAAATAAAAAAAAAAACAAAAAAAGAGGAAATGGAAGGGAAACAACAGGAAAGGGAAGGAAGGGAAAAGAAAGAGAATGAAAAGAAAGGAAGGAACAGGGAAGGGAAAAGAAAAAGAAGGAAAAAAAAAAAAGAGAAAGGAAACAACAGGGAAGGGAAGGAAGGAGAAGGCGGATATAATACACGCCTCTATCATGTGCCGTGTATCTGGTTGT